AGAGGCCCCAGCTTCTCCGCCAGCTCCTTCCTCTTCGCCTCCGACCTGGCCAGCTCCTCCTTGGTCTTCTGGAACTCCTCCTTCATGGTGGCCATCTCCTTCTCGGTCTCCGCGCTCTTGAGGAGGGGCTTGATCTTGAAGAAGAGCTTCATCCAGGGCCAGTGCTTGACGTTCATGAAGGAGCGGACGTTGTACTGGATGCAGAAAAGGGCTTCTCTGAAATGACACGGAAATATCAGTGTAGACTGATGCAAATTGGATACTGTATAGATGATAAAATTAGATGAAATCTTGGCAGTGAGAGTTCAGGGTGCTGCCCCACTGTTTTCTCAACTATTTTCAAAAGCACAAATGAAAAACATGGATTTTGTGGTGTTGGTCCAGGACTTGCTAATCACTTATTCTCTAATTCAGTCTTTCTCGAACTTGGCTCTACACAAAAATCACTTAAAGGGCTTGTTAAAATATTGGTTCCTGGACTCTATGCCCAGAAATTCAGATTCAGAAGATCTGAGACGAAACCTAAACATTTGCATTTTTATCAAGTTTGCAAGAGACACTGATGATGCCAGTCCAAGGACCACTCTTTGAGGAGTATGGCTCTGCCTCAGCACTCTCAGAGTTTTCTATGAGAATACCAGTAGGAGCAGGGAAGGGCAACTAGCCTCTCAGGGATATGAGACATGGGATAAACAGACTCATTAAAAACAGAATTTCTTTGAAATTCTCTGGTTTTATATTGTAATATTGTGCGAATTTTGCATTCTATTCTATAATATCACATTCGTTTTCATCTAAATTATTTTTAAAAATTAATTATCCTCATATTTAGGCAATTAACTGCCCAAATATATATCTAGAGGGTCATGATACTTATTATTTTTAATTAAATAGAATACAATAAACATATTAGCATAACTAGAGGTGATAGAAATAAAATTTGTTTTATGTAAATTCTTTATATATTTACACATACATATATGTATGGGTGTATAGATGACAAATAGAAAATGCACTTCTCACTGTGGGTCCTATTCATATGCATCCTGCAGTTTGAGATATCTGGCTCTTTAGTCTTGAAACTGCCCCTGCATCATATTAGATCACTAGAAAACGATGTACCTGGTGACATTGCCTTAGCTTACTGAAGGGAAAGTTTTCACAGATAAATCACTCTTGCCAAGAACCCTCTGCACCTGGCCTGGGTTCGGGTAATCAGCTGGGCCAGCTTGTCATCTCGCATCTCCTCTAGGAGCCCCAGAAGACCAGCTTTGAAAAAGACCTGTGCATGAGCAGAGTTGTAGATCAGAAACTACATCAACTTCAAAGCGACAGGAATAACGTCAAGGTAGACTTCAGAGACTATTACCTTGGTGTGACCAAATCTATACTGAGTGTGGTCAATATCGATGGATGCAAGGAGCTTCTCAGAAGCCTTCTTGCTGTCAATGAATTGTCCTTCAGGGATAGCACTTGCATTTAATACCTTGTATCTGTTAAAATACATACAGCTTTTTAAAAACCTTGGTTTATTGGTTTTTACATTAACATTAGTAGTAACTAAGCATTAAATGATCCATTAAACAATCAAAGTTTCTGTTTTAAAATTTATTATGCTATTTCATTCACAGGAAGGACATTGAACATATGGATAGTCAATCTAGCATTGACTATTCTTATTCCATTTTACCTTCCTGCATAGTTGCAACTTTCTGCCGCATCAGACCTTGTTCTCATGTGAAAGGGTTCTATAATCCTATTCCCATTAAGGTATAGATGTCTAATAAAATATAGCATGTTATCCTTGCTAGATGCATTTGCTTTTTAAGACCCTGAGTCTAAAAAAGCAAGGTTTAATGAGGAATCTGGTAGAAAGCTCTAGGTAAATGGAACTGTTCTAATCACCTAAAATCCAACATAAGAGTGCTTTAGGTCTTGGACACTGGAGTTCTCTGTCAGTTCCCCCAGACCCAGACTTAGGAGAGACCAACACCCTATAGCTGTTACTCAGCCTCTTGTCCATTTTGCCCTTTATTTGATTCTCAAGATGGACTTATCTAGGGAGGAGAAAAGGGAGCTGAGGAGCTGTTAGTGTGACATGTTTCTGCAAAACTAGGAAATTAGTGTATGAGAGAAAAAGATGAAGATACAAAAGAAGTGACAGAAAATGACTTATTGATACCTATATATGCGTGAGCAAGTTCCTAACTCAACCACTTAATAGCTATGTGACTTTGGGTAAGTAATTTAATGTCTTTTAGCCTCAGTTTATTCATCTATAAAATGAGGTCCTGATAGTACTTCCTCTGCTGAGTTTTTATAAGCACTAAATGAGATGATCCAAATATATTAACCACTCAAAATTATAGTATTCATAATTATCAAAGTTAAGGTATACGTTTATGAGCTAACCCAGAAGCGTGGTAAATTCTACGAAAAGCTTGCAGAGTACTTAAATATGTAGTCTGTGTTTATTTTAAAGGTGTTTTGAGGCATATTTTTTTTTACTTTTTGTGGAAAATTAATATAACAAAGGCATATATTCACTAAACTGTTTTGCCTGCATTAAATATATTTATGCTAAACTTTGAGATGCATCATTTAGGAGAGTCTGACCTCTGTTTGAAGTCAGCGTAAATGATTCTGCTTGGGAATCCCTTCCTGCAGATGCGGATGCCTTCCAGCACACCATTACACCTCAGCTGGTGCAGCACAAGTTCATGCTCCATGGCCCCTGAAAGTAGATATTTATTCATTGAAGAGTTTGCTTAAAAGGAGGTATGGCCATCATGCCTTGTGCCTTCATTCTAGAACTTCTTACCAGGAGTTTTTGTCTCATTGGGGATGATACACCGCACAAAATGGGGATGGGTACTCCTGAGGTTGGTCATCAGCTTGTTCAAATTCTCCTGTAAAGTCAGGAAAAATCCTGTTATCTCAGACTTTAGACTAAGCATTTTGGTGATGTCTATAAAATCAGTGTCTATGGTGGAGTTGAATGACCTACATGGAGCATTTTCACTTAAGGTAACACCTTGATAGGCTTCTCCTGAGATGCAGTTTCTGCCTCAGTACTTCCTTCTCCACTTGAGTGGCCAAGAGTTACACACATAAAGAATCTGATACATGATGCTTTTTATTGTGGACAAGTACTGTCTGGCTTTCTACCCCCTGGTCATCCACATACATTCACAAGGCCATTGCCTTCCCATACTAGCTGGTCACACTTTCTTCTCCTATACCCCATGGCTTTCCAAATAAGAAAATACAAGCTTGCACCACATTAGGACTTTTTTCTTATAAAAATGGTTCCCCATTTCCAATTATATCAATGTTTAGGGCATAAATTTTTTTTATAAAGGGAACAATTCTACCAGTTATATTTGAGAATTGACTAGATTAAGAACAAGGATACCGTATTACATTGCTTATAGGCTAGCTGTTAGATTTTCATTAGTCTTACTGATTATTTTGTCTCTCTAAGTACATGCCATTGCTTATTTTTGTGACTCAACTAAATTATGAATTAAAGAGTATTAAGTTTTATAAAATTTCCTATAAAATATTGTTTATTATTTGACTTAACATGAAAGATAAGCTAAAAATTTCTGAGTAATTTAAAGCTCTTCTCTCCAAAGCTAGATTAACACACGTCACTAGTTAATATCAACTCTTTTCTAAACACTTGTGAAAAGAAGACCCTTTGATTTGAACAGATTCCTAAAGTGGCTGGGGAATGTCAAGAACAGTTTCTCCCTTACTCTGAAAAGGGCAGACACCGTCTGGAAAGAAGAGCCCTTCTTCTTACCACCTTTCTTGCCACCACCACCACCTGCCTCTGGAGAAAGAAAAGAAAAGATGTCATTCAAATACAGTTTTGAATCAACAGGGTTATTTCCTGCCTTTTTGCTGATTTTTGTGCTGAAGTGAACATTTCTTGACACCACTAGGCTCTCTGTTGGACTTGAATGAATTGTTATGCCAACCATGTTTGCATCCACTTTTCTGTAATTTTATTTCATCACTAGGAAATGAAGGGAAGGGCATTGGTCTCACTGGATAGAGGACTCCTCAATATTAGGACACTTATGGACACTATAACTTTAAAAATCATCAATAGAAGCTAGAATTGAGAGGCAGAAGTTTGCCATTATATTGCCTTAAATATCCCCAGATACTCAATATCCAGCAGATGTGGAAGGAGAAGCAGGAGAGAATCATGGAAGCCAATGTTTTGCTATGGTTGAGATCCTGGCAGTTCCTCTCTGGCCCTTCGCGATAGGCCTCTGTCAGTGCTGGAGGGAGCCACAGCCTCCTTACTCAAAACTTGGAGACACAATGGGTTTGGCCAGCAATTTTGTGAGGGCTCTGAGATCACCAGCCTCAATCTAGCACCGCATTTTGTAACACCCAGAGAACGTGTTAGATTTTTTTGAGCAGTACCTGCTTCAGCAGTTTGAGCCCCAGAGAAGAGGAAAGCTAAAGTTTTCAGTGAAGACTTCTGGTACAGCCCGACCACGGTCTCATTCAGGGGGTCCTTGTTCTTGTCAAGCCAGCCGGTAATGTTGTAGTCCACGGTGCCCGCGTAGTGCACCAGCGAGAAGTGGGCCTCAACCTTGCCTTTGACAACCTTGGGCTTCTGGAAGTTGTTGGACTTGCCAAGATGCTGCTCATACAGCTTGTTCTTGAAGGAGGTGTCTGTGGCCTTGGGGAACATGCACTCCTCCTCCAGGATGGAGAAGATGCCCATAGGCTAGAAGCAGACCACACACAGTTATAATTCTATTTAAACAATTTTCGCTGTGCATAGAATTCAAATAAGATGCAATGAATAATTTAATTGCCAGAAAATATGGTTTCTGAAATGTAAAAAAGACCTTCTCAATGAGCTCAATGCAGGCAGCCAGGTCCATCCCGAAGTCAATGAACGTCCACTCGATGCCTTCCTTCTTGTACTCCTCCTGCTCCAGCACGAACATGTGGTGGTTGAAAAACTGTTGCAGTTTCTCGTTGGTGAAGTTGATGCACAGCTGCTCCAGGCTGTTGAACTAAATAAATAGATGTGTTTACTCTCCCTCTTTCGACATATAGGGCTTTTTAATTTAAAAATATGTGTCACATGGCCTTTAAAAATCATTGGGGGCCTGAGCAGTCTAATGTCTTCTCTTCTACCATTTATGCACAATACTAAATCATTGTTCATACACTTTCCTGCACTGGCATAAGTCTACTCAGGTATTTTTCTGACTTCCTACTTCATCATTCATGTGTGTTCCCATTAACTTTTACATTTTCTGTTGACTCATTTAAAAGATAATGTGTGAGCCATTGGCAGCTGGCAGAGAGGATTTCTGCTGTCTGCACATCCTGGTCAGCATTACACTGAGGAGTGATTGCCACCCACACTCTTCTTTAATCTGAAGTGAAATAAAAATCAAGATACCAAATATTATGGACAATATGTTACCTCACACTTGTATTTTATTAAATGCCAAAACATTAATATTAACTAGATATAAATAGTGGAATGAATGTGGAAACCTTTTCCTAGATCTTCCATATTATCTGCAATGCCCAAGTTTTACTTTAAGAATTTGAAAGAAAAATATGAACTTCTTCAAAACTATAAACCAAAAAGATTTATTTCATATTCACATATGAATTTTTATCCCATGATAGTATTCATGAAATTAAAAGTTAATTGCAAAGAGTTTGGGTTTTTTAAAATATATATTTTTATTGATTTCAGAGAGGAAAGGAGAGGGACAGAAAGATAGAAACATCAATGATGAGAGAGAATCATTGATTGGCTGCCTCCTGCCTGTGCCCTTGACCGGAATCAAACCCTGGACCCTTCAGTCCGCAGGCCTATGCTCAATCCACTGAGCCAAACTGGCAAGGGCTGCATTGAGTTTATTGATGCTTACTCTAAATTGCTAACCTTTTCTCAGCCCTCATTATCTGCCTAAGTTTTTCTGAATTACTTTTCCACCATATATTCAGGGCATATTAGGTGATGCATAGGTTAAGCTCATTTTGCCTTGTCAGATTTTTAGAGTGCCCCCTGATACTATACCATGCTGGTGTCTGACTCCCTTTGGGCCATGGAGCAAGTTAAAGAGTTGTCATAAGGGCATTATTGCTCATAAAGTAAAATCGCCACTACAGTAAATGATGAAGAGCTGCCCAATCACACTCTTTTGAGTCTTAGCATAATTTTTGACAACTTGAGAAAAGGTTATTATATTCACAGATTTCTTCCTGTTGATATTTCCATTGCCTTAATATAAAATCCCAATAACCAACCAGCTCTCAACTCACATCAAAGATCTCAAAGCCAGCGATGTCCAACACCCCGATGAAGTACTGCCTGGGCTGCTTGGTGTCCAGCTGCTGGTTGATGCGGGTGACCATCCACAGGAACATCTTCTCGTAGACGGCTTTGGCCAGAGCACCCACTGCATTGGTCACCTTGGAAGACACAGATATATTGAGTTTATTAGAGGAATATAAAATTCTTGCATCCCTGACAGTGCATTTGAATTGTGCACCTACCTGCTCTACAGTCTGGCCTTTGGTGACGTACTCATTGCCGACCTTGACCCTGGGGTAGCAAAGGGCTTTGAGCAGATCAGCAGAGTTCAGACCCTGGAGATAGGCTGCCTTGTCAGCAACTGTAGAGACACAATTCAGGTACCCAACATGACCTACTGTGCACCCTACTGTTCATGGAGTGTGAATCACTATAGAAAGCCTGTGCAGGGGTACATTCCTGTATGTCCACCAGAAGTTCAGTTGTAAAGGAGACATGAGTTTGGAATTGGCTTTTTTGCCTAAATTCTCCTGTTAAACCCAGATGGAACTACATTTTGTACCTTCAGTGCCATCTGGCTCAGCTTGCTCCTCACGCTGCTTTTGCTTGAATTTCATGTTCCCATAGTGCATTACTGCCCCTGTGAGCTTATAGATGGAAACTCTTTCATCAGCAGAGAAGCCCAGGATGTCAATGGCACTCTACGGGGAGAAATGAGAGGATAAAGATTAGGGCATAAGAGACTAACTTATTTAGGAGTATTTATACTATATTCTTACCACACACCTACAGTAGGTTGCTATTGTCATTCCCATGCATAATGTATTTTTATAACAAATTTAAGATAGTTCTTACCAATCAGTTCTGGCTTCTTGTTAGACATGATCTGATAAAAAATATGATAACTTCTTTCCGCCTTTAGCTGGAAAGTAACTCTGGACTTCTCCAGAAGATCTGCAGTGGAAAGTAGATATTAGATTGGAGGGAAATTGTAAAGTTCCCGGGGTGACTTGGCATTATGGTCATCAGTTCTATTTTATTGGCCCCTTGCGATTTCAGCTGAATGTTCCCATGAGGTACCACATAGAACATCTCTACAATGGCAGTTGCTCTTAAATCTCTAGGAAGAAACTAAAGCTTGCTGGCCCAAGGCATATTTATTTCTCATACAGAAGATGCCAGATGGATGAAATCTAATAGATTCTTTAACTCCTCCTCCCCAGGATCTCTTCTCACTTCATAATAGAGGGAATACTAAAAAGTGAAATTTATCAAGGCTCAGACTTGGAAGTAATTGCACACACTCAACCCATAGTGTTAATTTCTTTTTCTTAGAAAATTTTGAGGTCAATTCTGAGGCTGGAATAATTCAGACAAGCCTAACAGCTCCTGGCAGTTCCTAAAGAATCAGTAGCTCATGACTGACCACACTGTGGACTTTGAGCAAGGATGGCATTAACTGTGGGCATGTTTGGCAGAAGAAATGGTGTTAAACAGGCTCCAGGCTCATCAGAAGCTGCCTGATATTCCCCTCAAGCCATCATTCTTGGATTCTATTTAGGAGGTCCTGTTACTCACATGTTTCAATATCAGCAGAAGCCAATTTCCCTGTGGTACTAAAGTGGATCCTGATGAATTTACCCTTGAAAGCAAAAAAAGATGTTTATGTGAAAAGCTTGCAGCACACAAGAAAGATGAGATCGAAATGAAATTCAGACATGCTTTCTCTTGCATTTAAAGGCTGAGAAGACCCCTCTGTGACCAAGACACTTACAAAGCGAGAAGAGTTGTCATTCCTCATCATTTTCACTGATGAGAAAGCTGAGGCCCAGAACATCTAACCTGGCTCAAGACCACAGAGGACAAGCCTAACAGCTCCTGGCAGTTCCTAAAGAATCAGTAGCTCACGACTGACCACACTGTGGACTTTGGGCAAGGATGGCATTAACTGTGGGCATGTTTGGCAGAAGAAATGGTGTTAAACAGGCTCCAGGCTCGTCAGAAGCTGCCTGATATTCCCCCCAAGCCATCATTCTTGGATTCTATTTCAGAGGTCCTGTTACTCACATGTTTCAATATCGGCAGAAGCCAGTTTCCCTGTGGTACTAAAGTGGATTCTGATGAATTTACCCTTGAAAGCAAAAAAAGATGTTTATGTGAAAAGCTTGCAGCACACAAGAAAGATGAGATCGAAATGAAATTCAGACATGCTTTCTCTTGCATTTAAAGGCTGAGAAGACCCCTCTGTGACCAAGACACTTACAAAGCGAGAAGAGTTGTCATTCCTCACGGTCTTGGCATTGCCAAAGGCCTCCAGCAGCGGGTTGGCACTGATGATTTGATCTTCCAGTGTCCCCTGCAAAGGCAAGCGCAGTGCTCACATCTGAGGCTCCCCACTTCCTGAGCGCCCCGACACTCTTGATTCTGACTCTGGTATTGGACTCACCTGCATTTTGCCAGAAGTAGTTTCCTCCTTCTTCTTCTCCCCAGTAACTGCAATTGTTGCAAAGTACTGGATGACACGCTTGGTGTTCACAGTCTTCCCTGCACCAGATTCTCCGCTGTCAAATAGTAACTAAGTCAAAAGAGGTCCCAAAGCTGGCAGCTATTGCAGCCAAGAAAGGAAAGTGTAAACCTACTTACGTGATCAAGATTGACTGATTCTCTCGGTCTACAAAAGAGAAATTATAGTCATTTAATACGCTCCTCTCACATATTTGTAACTGGCAAGTAAAGTAAAATAGAATGACCTTAGTGTTATTTTCAGCTATCCCTAGGACTTGATGGGCTTGAGGTCTATTCCCTTTTTCAGTCTCTTCTCTTCTGCTCTGTAGGGCGCCCCTCACTTCCCACCCAATTTGTCGTTCATGTAACCATTTAAACAGAGCACTGCTGGGAAGCACCAGGCTTTTTAAATACTCTACCACTAAATAAACATCAAAAGTGGCTTGGATCTTCAGTTGGATTTAGATGACAAGTTACTGACCTATTTACTGTAGGTAGAAGAAGTAATGAAAAATAGGTGTTAAAGATATTTTAGCTTGTGAAAAGGAATAACTATAGTAAACACGCTAACTTTGGAAGTAATCATGGCTTTGGCCATTTTTTTTAGGGAAAGGTAAAAGTTAGTTTTCATGTTTTACTCTACCTAAGGAGGAATTCTCTAAGCCCTTTCCCCAAGGTGTATAGTACTAAGGAGTGGTCTAGCTGAGACAATATTCTAGGAAGAAGATTCATGGTACAACTTTTTATACCAGAAACACCTAAAAACCTGGAATGTGTTTGCGTTGGTTCTAGGAGAAGGGCAATAGCATTTATGCCATCCTTAATGTAAAGAGTCTGTTCATTAGTCCTAATTGTAGGTATGAGGATAAGACCAGAGAGGCAAATTTTACTCTTCTGTTTTTTAACTCTTGGTAATAGAAACACAGTGTGGTTGTGTTTGTGTGTGTGCGTGTGTGTGCGTGTGTGATTACATATGTAGATATGTTCATATTTTTGCTCAAGCTCATTTAGTGTCTGAGTCATTCAAAAGTTAATTATCTAACTACGGCCAACATCTTTTGATTTTCAAAAGTTTAACAGATCATTAGCAATTATGGAATAGTAGGGATTGCAAGTCATCTTTTACGCTCTTTCCTTCCTGGACCGTCTCTCTCATAAACACATCAACCTCAACTGAAGGGGACCGTCTCAAAGAGTGTTGAGATGTTAGAGCTTCTTCCTTCTACAGTTCTGCTCTAAAAAGATGCACATTTATAGCATTCAGCTCACCAGTCAGCATGAACTGATAGGCGTTGTCAGAGATGGAGAAGATGTGGGGCGGGGCCTCCTGACGCTTTTTGCCTCGGTAGGCAGCCACCACCTCTGCATTATACACCGGCAGCCACTTGTAGGGGTTGACGGTGACACAGAAGAGGCCCGAGTAGGTCTGTGCAAGGGAATAAGAAAGAATAACTACTCAAAGGCTTTTTCCACTATTTGTACAATTCACTTATTAAATGAATTTTAACTAAAAGGAGCACTTAAGTAAAATGCTGATGCCGTTCTTCAAGACGTCAGCGCAAAAACTAGTTAGAAGGTTCAACAATAGGATAGCAAACTTTTTGAGGGAAGGGACCACAATTTAAATTTATTCCCGATGGAATTTATCAGTGATTTTCACATAGCAGAACCTCCAAAAAGATTTTTTATGTGTAATATGAGACATTTTTACTGTACTTTAAGAAAGAAGGATATATCTCTTTTATAACATTAAGATAGTTCAAATTCATAAAAACATAAATTTGGACACAACCTAAGTACCTAACAATACAGGAATGGTTAGGTGAAATAGGCTAAATCTTCTTAAGATAATGTATTACAGGCATTTAAAAAGGTAAATAATTAAACCAAACACAAAATGATGTAAATGCATCATGATTACGATAGGATGATTTTCAAATCTTTGACAACTGATCAGGACAGGAACCTTCCCCCCCCCGTCCCCCAACCCCCTCCCCCAGTAAGAATGGATGCTGACTGAACACCAGGTTTGTTTGCATAGTGCGTCCAACTGAACATCAGCACTGACTAACCTATATCAAATACAGTGTAGCATAACTTCAGCTGAAAATCTGTACTGAGTGTGTATTGTATGCCAGGTGTCTGTGAGGCACCAGGAATGAAGCCTAAATAAGATGATGTTCCTTGAGGAACTCTCAGATGGTCAAAAAACATGGTCAGTGTTAATGCAGGGACAGAAACAAGAGGACAGAAAATGCAGCTCTGCCTGGGAAGTTGTAAAGTTTTCATTAAGACTTTCCACATAGAAGGGTTGAAAAGGCATAGACACATCGCTGTCATTTAGGAGGAGTGAAAATGAGTGAAATTTGGTCTTTAAAGGCATCATGTTTAAGTGCTACAACATAAGTTTATCTTTTCTCTCTGGATGATTTTGCTGCTGGAATAAGGAAGGGTTGAAATGGAGGCATGTGGTTGAGATATGAGCAGATGCTCCAAGATTTGTTTAAAGGATCTGCTGCAAACTCAGTGTGTGGACAATGGCCATGCCCAGCTTGGGATGAGAAGATAGGATAAAGTGCCAGCTGTTGGCTTGTGCCTCCCGATAGCAATAGCGAACCTTTTAACTAGTTCCACTATGAGTGAAAGCACAATGTGTCACTATCTGTGACCCATTCATACTACAGTGAGAGCAATGGCCTGGGTCCAGGTGATGACCACTCGGGAGGGGGGCACTCACGTAGATCATCCAGGCTGCATAGCGCTCTTTGAGGTTGTACAGCACAGCGGGCTCATGCAAGTGGGTCATCATGGCCATGTCCTCGATCTTGTCGTATTTGGGAGGGTTCATGGGGTACACTTGGTCATCTTTCACTGTCAGAGTCTGGTGAACAGAAAAAATAACTTTATGTCAACTGAGTGACCAAACAAAAAAATCAATTAAAGGTCAGCTCCTGGGAATCAACTCACCGCTCCCGCTTCAGTCTTCACGGTCACTTTCCCGCTCTCTCTGCTCTGGATAGTCCCTTTGACAAAGGACTCCTTGGGCTCCACCACGAAGACAGAGGTCTTGGCATCAAAGGGCCTATTCTGGGCCTCAATGCGCTCCTTTTCAGACTTTCGGAGGTAAGGAGCAGCCTCCCCAAAAGCAGCCATCTCCTGGTCGGCGGAACTCATGGCTGCGGGACTCTGGGGCCCTAGAGGAGGAGAGGAAACGTCACCCTAGAGATAGATGCTGGCCTGTCAGGCAGATCAATAAATCTCTACATTGGTGATATCTCAAGGGCCCCGTGAGAAACCCCACCAAGCGCGTCCACCGGACACTGTGCTCTAGTTACTGAAACAAAGGTAATCACAAAGACTCAAGTGCATCTGGGGTCCCTGTGCACCCAATGCCGAACATGGGGCTTTGCATCCATTATCTCCTTTTATTCTTTGAGACTGGCCCTCTAATCGGGGAGCTGGTGGTAGGCTCAGCAGCTGCCGAGGAGCTCATGGCCTTGGCTAAGGCACTTGGCCTTTCTGAGCCTCGGTGTCTCCATCTGTAGAATAGGGACCACGATATCTTGCCTTTTAAAAATATATATATATATTTTAAAATTTATATATATATTTCGCCTTGACCAGTTTGGCTCAGTGGATAGAGCATCGGCCTACGGACTCAAGGGTCCCGGGTTCGATTCTGGTCAGGGGCATGTACCTTGGTTGCGGGCACATGTGCCTCCCGACCCTTCAATGCACAGGCCAGTGCTCTATCCACAGAGCCAAACTGGTTATTAGTGCATATCTTGCCTTTCTTAATTCACAGGCCTGAGATGTAGTGAAGACAGTTTTTAAAAAGTTAGAATGCTGACTGAGGAAGCAATTAGAAACAGTTCAGGCTACGGTGTAGATATAAAGTGGCATCTTGCCAGGTGATGGAGAACTTGATTTCCTCCTTTGGGTGTTCATCCAGAAGTGCTCACCTTCAGTGGATTTGGGGATTGTAATCTTGTTTACCTTTTTCTTTTGTTTTAATTGGGTGCTCAGTAGAATTTCTCTAGCATAATTCTGTGTATTTAATATCCACTTACTCATTTAACCGAGGTAAACTAATTGAGGCTAAAAGCCATAGCAAACGTTACCCTCATTCTTCTCCCTTGAAGAGCTCCCTTTGCTTTCTCAAGTTCCCTCCTAGAAAGTGCAGGCTCGGCTGCCCCATTCTGTGTTATCTGCAGGTTGCTGGTGGTATCGGTAGAATAAAAGATTTGGCAAAGGATGCTCCTGTGGTCATTGCATGATCACATTACTTGAAGCTCCTTTTAACCAGCTCTCTCTCTAGAGCTGCAGTCTGCAGCAGCAGGGCAGGTTAATGCCTCTACTGTATAAGCAAAATTTCATGGTGCTTTCATTTCATACAACACTCAGCACTGGGTAAGGCAGCGATTTCCAGCCTTTTTCATCTCATGGCACACGTAAAACTAATTACTAGAATTCTGAGGCACACCAAAAATTATATTTTTTGAAGATCTGACAAATAATAGGTATAATTTTCATTTATTCAAACCAGACAACTATTGTTGTGTTGGCTGTTGTCATTTCCTTGACAATCTAAGAAACGAGGTCAGTGCCCCTGACTACATAGTCAGGTATTACATATTTTAAAATGTTTTGCAACACACCAGTTGAGAGTCGCTGGAGTAAGGTAGCATTTAAAAATGATTTTAGAGAAGTTTAAAGGAAGCATTTTCTTAGGTACTTCCTTTCTTATTTGTTGGATATCATGTTTACTAAAGGAATCCTAATAGCAGGATACATCTTTATCAAATTTGAGATTTTTAGCAAGGGAATCTCAGTGCAGAGTTTTTTTTCCAAACAGAAATATGGAGAAACAAAATAATATTCTAATGCCAGCTATCCTCTTGCTAATGTGTCACCACCGACGCCTGAGTGCTCAGTGAGGATGTGTGCACAGCGCTGAAAGGCTAGTCCTTCCTGCCCCTCTCCTTTCCTGGAGAGCCGTGAGGTGTTTATTGAGGCACCACTTTCCAAAGGTTGCTAAGAGACACCGATCCATCCCTCAGGCCCTTGCCTTCTCGAAGGACTGCTTCATCTAAATCTTACCTTGCTAGCCAGAGAGAAGATGTAACCTGGAAGCGAGACCGTTCTGTAAAAGAAAAGGAGAAAGCACTCGATTAGTTAACCAAAACCAAAACCAAACAAAATCTCATTCGTGGCCTTAGTTGCTACTGTACACAGAAGGCAACGGGAGCCTGGCTGGGAACGTGCAGGGGCAGAAGGAGCAGTACCAGAACTGGCAGCTGCAAGCAACACGGGCAGAGTGGCCGGTGTCCTTCTTGAAAGTCCTGTCCTGGTCCCACTTACCTTGGAGCTTTTTAAAGCAGGCGGAGTCAGCCTCCTTCCAAGAACTCTTTTATATGCATAGCTATGAAAACAATGCAGCTGCCTGTTCTTAAGTCAAAAGAAGTCGTTTGGCAAAAACATCTTGGCAATCTCGCATCCCCGCATAATTCTCATTCATATTAAGAATGGCTGGATATAATTAGAAATATTTTTCTTATTGAGTATGTGAATAAATCTCCTATGGATAATTTGAGAAGATGATTTGGATGGGAGGTTCAGGCTGGTGGATGAAGACAGTGACTGGGCAGCCAGGATACCTGGCTTCTCTCACAAATTCTTTCTGGGTTCACCTTCACAGCCAACATATTAAATGAGAGACATAAAGTACAAATACTTACTTTAGTTTTGTGAGGGTTAATTTTTACCTGTTGATTTGTCCTTCCCAGCCTTTGCCAAACTAAGCTATGAGCCTTCAACTGTGGGAAGAGAAAGTCCTCTCCTTGTTCCAATATTGTTGTGGTTTTGGGGAATATCCTTACTTTCTCACTGATTTTGCTTTCTCCCAGCTGGTTCTCTATACAGTGCCGTTTCCTGCCCACCTATTTGTTTGACTTGCCTACAATAAGAAAGGCTTACTAATTTCTACTAGGAAAAAGTGTGTTTAGGGAGTACTGCCCAACATTTTTCATTAGTTATAGTAGAGTGGTATGCTAGAGTAACATGGATGTGATTTGGTTATATCTATTAAGGGCTTGGTGAGAACTTTTCTTTATGCAATATAAATATAATAAATATAGTCAACATGAAGGAAAATATTAAATACTGAATGTGTCTAAAATTCAAAATAACATAATTTTTAAACTTTTAAGGAGAAATTTCAGCTAGCTTGAAAGGACAAAACTTATTTATTCCTGGTTTTATTCATGAAATAATGGCACACATTTTCTGATCAAAAATTTAAAAGATGATCACATACAGTATTTGCAGTCTTGGTAATTACCATTGTGGGAAAATTTTGCATAAGAAGGCAATAAAAATATAAAACCATGTTCCTCACAACTATTGAATTTATATTTTTTAAATGTACCTGCCCTTTTTTCCTTCTTTAGCAAATATAATGTCAAAATTTCTAGGATAATGAGAGTAAATTTTAAATCTACTTGAACCCTTTTTTATATCAACTATTTCAAAAGATGGTGAAACTCTAATCTGTGTTAGAGTCACCCCACTGCTGGGTTGGTCCCCACTAGAAGGGGACATCAGCCACAAATACACAGAGGTGCGTGATCCTTTCAAAGTCCAAGATCCGGACCTCCCACCCTGAGCTGTCTCCACCAGGACAAACGACTTGGCCCTCTAGGTTCCCCGTGCTGGCTGGTGGCACTCTGGCGGCGTGCCCTGTTTCAGGCATCCTGAAATACCAACCCTCCCAGCAGCCCAGGGGTCTCTTGCCTACAGCTGCCAGCATCACACTCCCAGCTGGCTGCTGAAGTAATTGCTCTTCTTGGCTCCACTTAGCATATGGTCAATGCCACTGTCTTTGCTTGTCTCCTTTAGGGATCTAGGTCACACTGTCAAACTCTAACTCGGCCCAGGCCACCCTCTAGGAACCCCTGTTGAGCTTCTCACAGCTGGAGCCCATCTCC